GGTTGGCGTTGAACGCGTGGGACGTCTTGAATGCTGGTTTATTGGTGTAGGCTGAAGACTGCCCCGTTGATAACTCCATAAAAATGCAGCGTAGCGTCCTGAGGGGATCAATCGGTTGGGTTTTCAACTCGACAGTATCAGCAAGCTTCAGCTGCACGCTAAAGGCTGTGTGTGGCTTGCTTGTTGTATCTGCCCTGTTACCTTTATGTGCATGAGCAGGAGGCAGGAATAAAACTTCAGTCGTCTGTAGCTTCTAGGAAGAGTTGTGAGACAAAAAAAGAAAAAAGGCCTGGTGCAAACTGGGCTTCCAGATGCTTTTCCAGAATGTTTGGAACCAAACCATAAACACCGGCCAAATGATGAAATCTGTGCTCTGAGAAACGTGAAAAGTTAGGTTTTGTAAGGGGTGGTATACAGCTCTCAGCATGAGGAGAGCTGGATTTAATTTGTTCTTAAATGTTCAGTAGTAGTGTACATGTTGCCTGATTTGACTAGACTTTCTGTCTGCTCTAATGCGATTTTACTGTAAGATGTAAAATTGTTAGTGTCATAAAACTTCCATGCTCCTGTAACGCGCACTTCCCAACCTGTACTTTTTTGTGGTAGTAATTACACACTTCAACTTTCAGGTTAAAAAGTAGGAGGAATTAAGAGGCTTTTGGAGATTCTATCTCAATTTGGAACTTGTGACAGTTTCACCTTCTTTCAAAAAGGAATGTGGAATAAACTGAAAATGAACTTCATGGAAAAATGCTTTGTAGGATAAAAGCTTATGAAGGAGTCGAGCTTAAGGATTTAACCAAAAAGCTGTGAATGTGATTCCTTCGTGTAGTGAACTTTTATTCTTCCAGTTTTTTTGGTTGGTGGGTTTGGTTTTTTTTTTGCTGTTTCTCATGGTGGATTAACTTCCCCTAAATTTGGCAGTAGGCAGGCTTCTAAGATCCTTTCCATGAGGAATTGATGATTTTGCTGCACTACTCCACTTCTTTGAAATAAGAATATACACGATCTCAAAGTTATGCAGGAGATGTGAAGGTTGGAGCTGACAACTTTTATCCCCTTGTGCAATAACGGCAGCAGAAATTGTAGGCTTTTAGAAATGCTGGGCCGTTTGTTTAATCTTCCCATAGGTAGTGGGGGTTTTTTTTGAAGAAAAAAGCTTTTGGCAATGGTCTGGTGGTTTTGGAAGAAAAGAATAGTGCCACTAATGTACAAATGAAGCTGGTTCACAAGCAGGATTTTAGTATTAAATTGTTGGTATAGGTTTTCTTTTTGTGAATGAAATACAGAGCTAATTCTGTCAATTCTTTAATGTGTAATCATATTGTCTCTGTCCTTACTGATACAGGGTACAAGTAGTATTGGTATTAATGTATGTGTATTTCAAGTCTGTTATTCAACAAAATGAAAAGGTAACAACAAACCATTAGTAGAATAGGCTTACAGATGAGAATTGTAGTCATTAGAAAGGATTACAAAGTCTAAACTGCTCTATTCCTTTATAGTTTTAAAAATAAAAATTGCACACACAGAAAACATAGAAGGGTGACTGCAGGTATTTCATTCTTTCTCTTTTATGACAAGAACATCTTGTAACTTGAGCAGGGGAGGAAGGCTTGCACATGAAAGATGTTTCCAGCTTTGTATTTTACTTTATGTGTGAACTTCTGGCAAAGCTGTTAATTGTCCTTTTCCAGGCTGGGGTTCTACAACTTCAATCAACTTCACTATCCAGTCCTGCTCCGTTCCTTGCCTTGGAACTGGTGCTGTCTTAGCCATTTGGTGATGTGTTTCAGCTCTCTCAAGCTGCTAGGAAGCAAATGTAGCAACCCCCTGCTCAAAAAACTCCAGCAAACCCCAGAATTCTGCCAGCCGATTAACTCACCGAGGGGTTAGAGTGCCAGCGCCGGGAGTGGGATTGCTTGCCAGAAGCATGGCAGTTCTGTGTAAGTGTTGATTCCAGCTGGCTTCAGTCATGGACTACAGTAAATCCATGCCCTGTTTTGGACAGGGGTAATACTTGCTTCCTGGTAAAATTCAGTGACTTTTTTGAGGTCGTGGATGAATGGACAAAATGAAGCACGCGCTACCTGCAAATACCAGTGCAGTGTGGGAAGTGTTGGTTTAGACTTTACCAAGCCTTGAATGCCTGCTGATATGAACCCCCTTTTTTTTTAGAGCAATTGTGACAAAAGTGCCTGTTATTTGGTTTAGGATTTGGATTGAAGGGCCTATTTTGGTGGCTGAAGTTTTAACAATGTAATGCAACTGAGACTTTCATCACTGTCAGTTATTTGAAGAGCAGAAGTGTCCTGAAATATTTTCTGTTACTTAGCAGTGGAAATGACTTTTTACGTTACAAACTACCAGACTTTCAGGAACTGCATTTTACTTCTATTAAGCTTTGACTGGAAATCAAATGGGTAAAATGTAGAACATTACTAAGATGGTAATTAACTTGGTTAAGGGATTGTATGTAAGTGGAAGCAAACAGCATTCTAAACATATTCCAGGATAGATGGATATTAAATACTCTAATGACTTGGTGTGAGTCTGCTTAAGTTCCAAGAACAAAAGCGTTAGTGGACCACAACAGTGTGCTTTAGGCAAGGAGAGTTATTTAGGAGAGTTTCTTCCCCAACTCTTGTGATAGAATTGTCATAAAATGAGCGCAAGGTGGCTTTCAGTAGATCTTGTTCTGATAGTGTTTCTGCACAACTTTGAAAATAAATAGTAAGAAAATCTATCTGTTACAAAGGAACATGCAGTTCCATTTTACAGTATTTGCATTGATCTGTGGTTTTTTGCATGTATCTAAAATTATTTTTAAAAGAAGTATTTCCTAGAAACACGCTCATTCTGAGCGTAGCAGGAAAAGCTATGTGCAAAAGCGTATCTAATTTGGAGTGCTGGAGCTTCGGCATTAACAGCGGTTGGCCTTTGTGCTCAGCTTCCTGAAACGTGGGTTTAAGAGGAGGGTGATTGTCCCTGTATCTGTCCCAAGATGAGATTTAACAGTCTTGATCAAAACTGAGTTTGATTGTTTGGCTTTGGCAAGAATGAAAGGTGAAGCATTTGCGCTTCCCAAGCGTGCTTGGCTAGCCTTTAATCGGAGCATCTTTAATAAGTATGATTACCTTCATTTCAGCTGAAAGAATTAGTTGACTGTAATTTATATACAGTTGACTCTGTGCAATTTATATACAGATGATGCACAGTAGACACTTATTTGCATATACATTAACATGAGAATGCTTTGGAGGGGATGCCAACAAAAAGATTGAAAGCCACGATTCTTTGGGTTCACTTTATACTGGTTTCCCTAGTGTCTGATGTGGACTTTAAGCGTTATAGGGAAGTGGACTGCAAGGTTCTGTATTTCAATATAACAGATGCCCTTCCAAGTAAAATTACGGTAAGAGTGGGATGATTGCAACCACTGGGTAATACTATATAATTATACTTACACATATTGGGTCCTTCAGAGAAGACCTGAAAACAATTATTTTTAATTAGAAGTGATCTGAAGTTTTGTCTGCGTTACAAAAACTGTAAGCACTGTTTGTCGGCTGGCAGATCTCTACTTGTGTTTCAGTGGTGAAAGCTAGAGTGTGGAAGCAGAAGTGATGGAAGTATGTACCTGTTCAGCCAACGTTTAATCAGTGTGTGTGTGTGCGTGTGCGTACACACAAATTTTGAAGTATGGATTCATTTGAAGTGGAAGTTGACATTGTTTCCAGTAAGAGGCAGCTTGCAGGCTCCCAGTGCCGTAGGATTTTTTTCCCCCATACTTAAGGGGAATTCCTTTCTCTTAATCTGCACTCCTTTGAGATCAAGTCTGATGACTTGTCTGACCTTTTCTATTCATTTTCTCTACCTTTTCAGCTTTGTATGGCTCTGTTTGTCATCGCTCAGAATGTACATCCTTGTGTTCTTCTGCAGTCATTGACTACTAATACTTCTAATAGTTTTTGGGGGGTTGTTTTTTTTTCTACTTTACCCAAATATTTGCAGAATGCTCTTGCTGGTTTTCAAGTCCTTTTTCTCACTTCTCATTGCCATTCAGAATGATGAGAGACTTACAGGGTCTTCTTTCCTCCTAATTGCTGTAGAAACTGGAAGGAGGAGCAGCATATTGGTAGGGATATAGGGGTGTGGGAGAGTCCTGTTTGTATTTGAGTGGAAGGTATATCCACCTCCCTTAAGACTTTTACCTTACAGCTCAGAAATGCTGAGACTAAAGTGAAGCTTGAACCTCTTAGGGTTTTGTAAGTTTAGAGACAAAATGTGACAAAATCAAAGTTGAAAGAGGAGCAGAGACACAAATGAGAAGGAAATGTGGGGAAATATTAAGGGAACAAGCTGAAAGTTTTCAAGTAAATGAGAGTCCTTTTTAGACAGAAGGATACACAGAAAAAAGTGTGTGTGTGGGAAGAACAGTCTTGCTACAGTGAAATATTAGTCCAGCAAAATATGCCTGGTGGTTATGGTGCTGCAGAGTTAATGCTATTAAAACTCCACAGGACTTCAGTGGAAAATAATGCTCTATAATTGAAGATGACTAGTTTGCTATAGAACATTTCTAAAGAGATTTGTGTCAAACTGCTTTTTTGGTGGTGGTCAGGTGATTAAAACATGCTGCTGTGGGGAACTTCCTTTATACTGAGCAACGTGAATGGCAGGTTGTTTGGTTTTTTAACTCATTCTTAATGGATTCTGTTGTCTTGATATGTAATCGAGTATGAAGCTGGAAAAAAATAAAAGCAATTCTATTTAAGTTAGTGTTACTGCTAAGTGTGTGTGTGTGTGTGTGTGTAAAGTCCAAGAAACTGGTGAATCTAACTCTCTTACAGTGAGTTTGAGTGTTTTGTGAACCTGATGATAAACTTCCTGGCAGCATTTGCTTTCTGATTTCCTAATTTTGCACAAATATTTCCTTTACTTCTGTTGTGTGCTAGGTGCTGCTAAAACTCTTGGCACAGAGCTGGTTTTAGCGTTACTATAAAAAGCAAGCTACTTCTGATTTATACAGTCCCTTAACATAGGTTTATCAGTGCAGCTACACTTATAAACTCAACTTGGATTCCTGCCATAACGTGTTCTGTAACTAAAGTAGTGTATGAGTAATTATGACTCTCGCTTCGTAAACGTTATTTACAAAATTCATTTAAACTGTTAAAGTGCTTAATGCACTGTTCGTTTGAGCAAGCATCTGAAGATGTAGAAGAGGATGTGACTCAAGTATCAAATATTAACAGTTATTAAGAAAGTCTGGGTTTCATAGTGTGCCCCCTGTCTTGCTTGCAGGAATTGAAGCAGTAAGTCTGTAAATGTATGCAGAACATCAGATGATTGAGGATACTGGTGTTAAAATACAGGGATTTTTTTTCTAAAATACTAGAAAAGTATCTGTGATCAGTACTCTTGTAAGAGGCATGTGGTGGGCTTGCTTGTAAGCTGTGCTGCAGTGATTTATATTCCTAGAAGTACATAGGTGTACTAGAAAAATTTGAGAAGCATCTTCAATGCCATTTTATTTTTCTTGGAGTTTATGTACAAGTTCCTTTTTAAAACTGGGGATTTGGTTTTATTCCTGCCAGTGATGCTAGCTGTAGGTACCTTTTTGGTGTGTGAATATATAATTCAGAAATGACTGGACCCAACTGTCAGCTTGTTATAGGCTCTGAAGAACTTAGCAGCAAGTAAACAAACAAACAAACGTGAGCTAGCTGTCTAATACAGAAAGTCTTTTGGCACTTACTTCTGTAATACTTACGCTGTTGTCAGTGGATGAATTTAGTGCTGGTAAAGGACTGGAATTCCAGGCTTGAAACTCCAGTAGTAAGAGACCGTAAGTATTTGCACCCCCTGGCTAGTTGCTTCAAAAAAGAATGGGAAGAAACCAAGACTGATAGGTTGTAGGTAGGTAAGTGACTGATAGATTATGTGGGGACAGAAGTGCAGTACGTGTGAACTCCTGCAGAGGGTTATGGATTTGCAGGCTATGGGGGAGCTCTTAGGAACGTGTGCTCCGCAATAGGGTCTGTTTTATTCCTGAGACATTCCCTAGCCGATTGAGGGTTGTGATGCTTTGAAACTTAGTTCTGCAGTGACTCTCTCCTGCTTGTAGCTACAGGTTTGATCTTGATGAGTAGTGGAATTGCTGCTTTTTCCTCTGTCACTTTTTCTTCCAATATGCTTTCTCTCATTTCAAGTCCCATTTTAGTTGCTGAGATTCCAAGCTTTCCCTATACTTGAGTAAATACTTTCTTCTTTCTTTTTTTCCCCAATTCAGTTACTGAAATCATGAATCCTGTGTATAGCCCTGGGTCTTCTGGGGTTCCCTATGCAAATGCCAAAGGAATTGGTTATCCAGGTAAGTAACCCTTGTTTTTTAATGACTTTCCATTACACTGATCTTTGTTTGTAATCAAGAAGACAGTCCTTTATGAATAGCTTCATGTATGGTAATCCGTTTTGGAATTTGGGTGGGGTTTTTAAAATTTAAACAGTGACATATTGAGAGTGATGTTTAGTTGTTCTATTTCTAACTTCAGTATTTCTTCCAAAGCAGCTTATTTTAGGAGCTCTAATAATTGCACCCTGCAGGAAGAGGAGTCAGTCTGTTTCTGCTGCTAGTTGGCTGGTGCTGCTAATCTTTCTATCCTCTAATTCTTGTTCATGCTATCTGTTTTATGACTGCCCAAAGCATAGCATCAAAGGTGGGACCAAGAAAATGGCCAAAACTTGTTTTGTAGAATAGAAATTAAATGTCTTTCTTGCTTTTTCTGCTTCTCATTTGACTTCAAGCTTCTCACCAGGGTTTTTTTCCCCTCATCTCCTAATGTGTGTGTGAGCAGGCTTCATTTGTGGTGTCCCCATAGTTCAGAAGTTGGATAAGGCAATAACTAGATTTGGACAGAACTTTATGTATCATAACCCATTAAACTTCTGTGGCTTTTACAGGGAGGCTGTTTTGTGATTGAGTTGGTGTCTGTGTTGAGAGCTAGAAATCATTCTGTGCCATTACCGTTTATATTCTTTGTAGCTGTACTATATTTTCCTTCTGGTATTTACAGTTTTAAATTTGTTTTTCTGCTTAGGTAGTGTAGTGAAGTTCCTATTTTTCTGTTCCACTTTTCTCTGTTCCTTCTTCTAAATACTGGTGCATAAATGGATTTTCTTTACTGTTGACTTGGTCCTCTCAAAACCCTTGTTTTTAATTTTTGTTTTTGCTTTTCAGGTACTTCTAATTTTTTCCTCAAATTAGTGTACCTTTGATTTCTACAGTATTTATAAGGGGAAAGCACAAACGATGTTGCAATGTTTTTAAGCCTATTGAGTGACTGAAATAGCGCAGTAATAAATTGCAAAGCTGGTGCTGTGTAACTCTTAAGTCCCGCAGGATGTTTTTGGTCTTTGTAACTGTCTTAGTTATATGGACTACAGTAATTTTATAATACGGTAAGCAGCAGTGGTTTACTAATAAGTATCAGTTACAGTACAGTAATTTCTGTATTCATAATAGATTGCTTTTTCAAGGCTTTCTTTTGCTTTCGATAAAGATTATTATGAATTATTTTTATATAAATTTGTATTTTTATCTCTTCATTTTTTCTAAACACAGATTTATATTAATCAGGGTTTCATTTATACTTACAACCTTTTACATGTTGCATTGAAGCTCCTGTTTATAGTAATCCAAGTGGTACCGTAATTTACTTAGGAAGATATTCTATTGCAGATTCATAAATAGCAGTTTAAACAACATTATAACTTCTAATATTTTATTCTACTGTTATACATACTACACTACATATTGAATTATGTAAGTACTGTATATTTGTCAGTCTTCACTTGGTTGTAAATTAGCATAACTAAAGTGTATGGAATTGAAGTAGAATTGTTAGAGAAGTGCCTTAAATGTTATGCTACAAGTTAATTATTCAAGATTCTTCCATACAGCCTTACAGTCAGTCCATCAGTGTACACAACAGTGACCCTTAAATTCAGCTTAGTCAATAAGTTCTACAGTGTTACACTGTTAAAGATAGTTTGCTGAGCTGCCTGGTTTATGCTTAAAGATTGTGGGATAAACACAAAACATTCTCTGAAATGAGAAGTAGACTTGGTATTTTAGGATTTTCTTAAATTGCTGCATGACTAAGTCTTCCTTCTTTGCCTCTCCTAATTTAAAAGCTACAGATTCTTAATTCAGAATTATAGAGTTTACCTGGGTTGCGTGGTAATAGAAAGTAACGAATGTATCACTACATGGAACGTATTGTTTCTAAAGCTGGTGTATATTTAATTGCCGTTTATATTATATTACACCTGTTTGAGGTTGTTGGATGGGTTTACCGTAGCAAGGAATCACTGTCCAAATGTTCTCACATGGATAAAAGTTCTGTGTAGAAGTTAAAACTGCTGCTTGTCATTTTTCTCAAGTGACTTGTTTCTGAAGCAGCTCAGAGTGCTCTGCTGTGAAGCTAAAACTGTGAAGAAAGAATAGAGGACTGCAAATGTGTACTACATAAATAATGCTGCAGATGTGTAGTCAGTTTGAGTAATGTGTAAAGCTGTACTAAAGCTTTTCACTAGCAGCTTGTGAATTTGAAATCTTAAGAGCTATTTATACTCCAAAAAGTGGTTGTGAATTGGCTATGTTGTTTTTACCTTTGATTTTTCAATCTAATGCTTTTCTTAGGCTTATCCATGCTGACCACCTAATAGTAGTGCAAAGTGTATGTCACTTGATACGTTTACAGAGTGCTTTACAAAACTAGGTTAACATATATAGTCCCGAGCTAAGGAATTTTTATTGTTAGGAGTAACTGCTAAGGACTCAGGGACTTACAGCGAAATAGAAACCCTTCAGATTTGAATAAGCAGTTTAAAACTAGCAGCTTTAAGCCTGACCGTGAATATGCAAATGGGAATTGCCTTTTATCTGGAGAAGGTGAAATCCTTGTATGTTGATAACAAAACATAGTAACTTGGTCTTTCCAAATACAGACGTTACTCAGTTTTACGGTTTGGAATATAAGTAGGTTCCTGGAAATAGCTATGATTAATTCATCAATTTCACTTACTACAATCTAAACAAACTTTGTATCTTTCAAGTAACTATAACTTTTGCTAATTCTGGTTTTTGCCTTATATTGGAAGCCAGTGTATTGAGATGTTAGTTCAGCCATAGTGGTTCTTGTGTTTGGGTGTAGAAGCGTTTACCTGTCATTTCGCTGATTCCTCAGTGAATCACTTGTAACTGTTAACTGTCTTAGTAGATGCCTGAAAGTGGTGAGCTTGTTTGATACCCGAGTGCAACAAGTCTGTGTCAAATGCAACAAGCATTTTGGACTACCTAAGGTTGCTTTGTACTCTCTACCTGTGATATTTCTGACCTAAAGAGTCAAGAGTGCCTCTCTGACTTCTAGGGATTTATTTCTATGAAACAGTGTATTCAGATAAATATTTTATGTACGTCAGGTCTTAAAACTCATGGGTGGGAGGAGGAGGGTTGGATAGTTGCACAGAACTTTGTTGTCCAACTAACTTAGGAGTTACTTGGCCAGCTTTGAGATTTGCTGAAACAGGGATGTAAAGGACAATGGTGCTTGTGACTCCTTAGCTGTTCCCTTCATCTAGCATTCAGCTTCAGGTGGCTTGGGAGAAGAGGAGCCCAGCGTTTTAATTGAGGAGGTGTATTGAAGGCCATCTGTTAGCTCATCTCAATTAAAAGATATACAGCAAGGATCCTTGAGAGTGAAGTCTAGTTAGACTGTGCAGTCATTTTAGAAAATAACTTTGACGTATTCTTTCTTCTAGCTGGCTTCCCAATGGGCTATGCAGCAGCTGCTCCTGCCTATTCCCCTAATATGTATCCTGGAGCAAATCCTACCTTCCAAACAGGTATGTGTAATAGGTATGTCAAAGCAGTAACCTGAAGTTTGGAAATTGTTAGAACCAAGAAAGGAAAAGCTGTAGGGGCTTACAATAACACTTATACTGTGGAATGTTTTACATTACTTTGAAGTGGCTCATAAGGAATCATCTGATAAATTAAAATGAGTATAATCTTGTCTTAAGTGAATCTCCTTTCACCCCCAGAGAAGGAAGAAGCTGAGTTTTTAGCTATTGTTTCTATATTTCAGGCTGATACTTGAGGATTGCATTGCGTTTCCCTTCACTGCTTCCTTCTTGGTTGTGCCTGGTTTGCATCCTATTGGTTGTTTCCAAATTCCTGTTTCTTCTGTTTCTTATCTTCAAAATTCTTCTTTTTCGTCCTTTTCTTAAATGGTATCTCTTTCCAAGTTCAACTTGCTGCCTTCTTTCTGCCCTTAAAATTGTCTTCTGTGAACTGATTGTGTAGAAAGCCTGGTTGCTGGGTAAAACTATTTTGGCCATAGTGGATATTGAGTGAGGATTTGGGTAACCACACTTGGATGCTTGTCACTTGAGAGAAAAGGAATCTGGTGAGCCAAGGAAAAGGGAGATGGAAAAACACACAAGGGAAACCAAAGCACTCACCTACGTTGTTTTTATGTAGTTCTGCTTTCACTAATAGGAGATGATTTTGATGTGCTAATGCTTGAAACAAAACAGAAGCTGGTAGCATTTAATTTCCACTGGAGCCAGGAACATACAGCTGATAGAACAGTACTCTCCCTGTGGTTATTTTGCATGCCAAGGAATTCCTTACATTGCTTTGCTCATGTAGAACTGGGCCATCTTTAGGAGCTCTTTCATTTGCATGTCGAGGAGGGGATGGAGTGTGCCCTCAGTCAGTTTGCAGGCGACACCAAGTTGGGCAGGAGTGTTGATCTGCTGGAGGGTAGGAAGGCTCTGCAGAGGGATCTGGACAGGCTGGATGGTTGGGCCAAGGCCAATTGTATGAGGTTCAACAAGGCCAAGTGTAGCTGGAGTGTGTCCAGAGAAGGGCAACAAAGCTAGTGAGGGGTCTGGAGCACAAGGCTGATGGGGAGTGGCTGGGGGTCCTGGCAGTGTTCCGCCTGGAGAAGAGGAGGCTGAGGGGAGACCTTATCCCCCTCTACACGTACCTGAAAGGAGGGTGTAGCCAAGTGGGTGTTGGTCTCTTCTCCCAAGTAACAAGCAATAGGATGAGAGGAAATGGCCTCAAGTTGCACCAAGGGGAAGTTTGGATCAGATACTAGGAAAAATGTCTTCACCGAAAGGGTTGTCAGGCATTGGAACGGACTGCCCAGGGCAGTGGTTGAGTCCCCATGCCTGGAGGGATTTAAAAGCCTTGTAGCTGTGGTGCTTGGGGACATGGTTTAGTGGTGGGATGGCAGTGTTAGGTTAACGGTTGGACTTGATGATCTTAAAGGTCTTCAACCTATTCTATGATTCTATTCTATGTATTATGCTGGTTTTTCAGAGATACACATGACACATAACCAAATTTGTCCCTGAATGCCCTTGTGTAACTTACGGGGATAGGGTATGATGCTGCTTGCAATTGGGAAGCTTACCTTGTGGGAGCCTGCTTGCAGTATTGAAGTTCAAGGTTTGTACCTTACTGCATTTCATTAACTACCAGGAGACTTAAACGGGTGTGGCAGCAATTACTGAGGCAAGAGAGTGTAAGTCATCTAAACTGTTTCCCTGTAGAACCTGGTGAAAGTGTGTAGCTGTGTAGCTTTCCTTGGAACTGTGGAGTATTCTAGTTGGTACAACCTGTGTCTCTGTTCGGTTTGCTGCTTAGAGGCATAGCGAGTGCCGAACCGATTTTGGCTTGTCTTGGGTATTGAATTGAAGGTAGGGAAATGGATGGATATTATAAGTTCCAGTAATTATAAAGAAAAATAAAAATCTGGCTTTGGATAGGGTGTTGCCTCTGTGCAAGTGTCATATCTAGGGGTACCAGCTCGCATTTGTGCTGAATTGCTTAAGAACTTTTTTGAGAGCGATATTCAAGGGAGAGCAGTTCCCATCGGGGGTATAACTCTTAGCATGGGAATCAAAACCTTATGTAGGCTTTTATTTTCAGCTTGTATTACTAATAGGCCATTCAGTTGCACAGTTGAGATTACCTTAGTGATGTGTCTCTGCCTTCTATGCTCCAGTGTATATATCATCAGGATTTCTGCAGCTGTGCTGAAGAGTAGCTGTAATTTTTGATCCTAGGATCAGATAACTGAAAGGTAGTTCCAGTCTTATTACTGGTTGCAAATCCTACTGCAGGAAGATGAAGATAAGCTGCATGTAATCAATTTACCAAATCAGGAGACTGAGATTTTTATTCAGTTGATTGGGTTTTTTCCTTCACGTCAGTTATGTTGTAATAGAAGGTTATGGTTTCTGGGGAAGATTCTTGACTTGTTAGACTTAATCATGTTGTGAGATTAGTTTGCATTGATTAATCTTGGAGTATGTCTCAAGTTATATAACAAAATTGGAGTAAGCAATTTTTCACTGTTATGTGAAGAAGGAATAAAGATTTATAGAAGTCATATACCATCTTTGAATGTCCTTCATTTTTTAAAGTTAGTACTATTAGAGTCTGTATTGCTGTTGAATAGAAAATACGCTTTTATTTCAGAACTAAGAATAGCTTTAATTTTTAGGTACTCTTTAAGCTATGAACAAAAGTTCAAAATGTCCAGGTTTTCTAATTCAGGCAGATAACAACTTGAAGTACTTTGTCCTAACAGATGGGATTTTTTTTTTTTTTTTTTTTTTTACTTTCTTGATGTAACTGCTTATTTGTAGAATCAAAGCTTTTGTAAATGCACATCACACAGCAGTATTTGAGTGCGACATGCCACTGCTGTTTGGAAAGTGTACCTTTTTACAGGTATCTTAAATTTCTGTTTTTGAATAGCCATCTGATTTACTTTTAAGGTCTTTGCTCCCTGTAAGGGAGAAAAAAATTAAATGGGAAAGCAGAATAGCTCTTGTACAGATGTACCACTTTGCACGAATGAAAGTTAAATTGCCTGTGCAGGTGTATCAGTGGGTTTTTAGAATGAGAGTGGGCTTGACAGGACACAGCTGTAGTTCAGTAGCAATGCTTCATGTTCAGCATTTTGTAGCTGAGTCTTTCAATGCAAATAGCTACCCATATTTGAAAAAGAAGTTACTTCCTCAGCGTGTTCTATTCTTCAAATACTTAGGCTTTCTAAAGACAAGAGTTCAGCCTAAGTGCTGTGGTAGCTTTCTTTAGTATCTCTAAAGGTGATAAATTCTATTTAAAAAAAAAAAAAAGGAAGAGAAACATAATGGACCTATTTCTTCATTAACATAACAATTTTCAGTTTGAAGGGTGAAATGAAATTGGAAAGAAACTCTTTCTGAGTTTCTCAGACACTCAAAAGTCTTTGCAGACTTCTGCAAAAAGAATGAAGGTTCTGTTATTCTGAGACCTTGTCTAATGAGGACTGGAGAAATTATGGAAGCACTGCCTTAGGCAGGCTCTGAGCCAGCAGTTGCTACTTATCCCTGTAAAAATTGAACAGTTCCCACCATTTACGAGGCAGACTGATTTTGGGGGCCTTGTAATAGGAATGCAAAATTCTTTCTCATGGCATCTAAAGTCCTATAGGAATGTATAAAAATAATTTTTACATGATGATTAAGGGTATGTCTACATAAGTAATTCAGAAAAGGGAGATTTGAAGATACTTAAGTGCCTCCAAAGTCTAATTTGCAGTCGCAATGAACTCTACAGTGCTTGCATTTTAAAGGTATGGCCTTTCATATTTATTTTAGCCAGTTCAGAAAGTGCAAGAAAACAAACACGAATAAATATAAGTTGAAGAGGAGGTTGCAGATTGTGTGTCTCTGTTATCTGAAAATCTAATTTTGAGCTCTTTACGTGATTTTGACTTTTGAAATTAAGTTATTCTTGTGCTGTATCATCTTCTATAGAAGGAACCGCAGGTTGGTTAACTGTTACTATGTTTTGCCAGTACAATTTGGGGGGTGTTGAGAACTGGGCTGATACTAATGCGAATTCAAGTGTTTAATGATACTAGCATGAAAATCCAAATCCACTTTTTTATCCCGCATCCATAGATTTGAAAAGCAAATTGTGCAAAAATACAGTTAACTTTTCATGCTTAGTTGACACAGTCAAGTATTATTTTCAGATTGTTATCAGTATTATGTAAATGGTAAACATGTGTTTGGATATCGAGACTAGCCTACATGAAGATTAAGGAATTTGGAAATTAAGAAAATTGTTACCTCTGACTCTAGAAAGCAGTGTACTGACACTTGTTTTTAATGTTTTTAATGCAGATTTACCTTTGTTTCAGGTTATACACCAGGCACCCCATATAAAGTATCTTGTTCACCCACTAGTGGTGCAGTGCCACCATATTCTTCGTCACCGAATCCCTATCAGACTGCTGTGTACCCAGTTCGAAGTGCCTATCCACAGCAGAATCCGTATGCACAGGTAAATGAAAGAAACAAAAAACCTGTCTGTTTGGATACGAATTTGTTTACCTTGTAATATCTGCTTGAACTCTTTAACTTTACATCACATGGATGGAGGGAATTTTTAGCTGCCTACGGTAAGAATTCTTAATACAGTGATTTACAGGGTGTGTGCGCGCACTTTTACTTGCTGTCTAACGTCACAGTTACTCCGCACTTACTGATAATGTGTTCAGTCTGTGAACAGACACTAGATTCAGTAGCTTTAAAAATATGTGCTGGATGCTATAACTACTGTATCCTGATTTCATTTTGTCAAAAATTGTCATAAAGTTGCATTAATTTTTATGGGTTTTTTTTAGGAAGCCTCTGTTTTGATGCAGAGAGTTACCAAGTCTCACTAGGCCAACTGTTGAAAACTGTTAGAAAGGATAGAATTAAGATGCTTAAGTAAACATGATATTTTGGGAAAAGTTGGCCCTCTCTTTGCATAGAGAAAACTTGCCTGGCGTGTACACAGTAGTTGAAGGGAATTAATAAGCATGTAACAACTTTTATCTGATCTGCTTAGTGTATTTCAATTTGTCAAAAACCTTTGGTTCTTTAACTAAAAGCAGATGAATAAAAAGTTGTGAAAGAATGAGGAAAGTTCTTTCATGGATTAATATATCAAAAGATACAAAATGAAGGGAGTGAATGACTAATGAGCCCTTATTATTGAAGATGCAGTCAACATTGGAGTTCTGCAAAGGTCCCTGCTTTTGAATGTCATCCTAAATGCCTTTAAAAAGGGTTAAATGTTAAAAAGTTTGCCTGTGAAATGCAATTGGAATAGTTGAAGTGAATTTTTTGCCTTCTGCTCTGTAAATACATTGCATCTTTAGAATAATGGTTTTGTTTTACGATACATTCATAAAAGAAGACATCATTTATCTTCCCCATCAGATACACTATAATTATTTAATTTACACTTTTTTTCTCCAACAGCAAGGCACTTATTACACACAGCCTTTATATGCAGCACCACCCCACGTAATTCACCACACCACAGTTGTGCAGCCTAATGGCATGCCGGCAACCATGTATCCTGCTCCAATTCCGCCACCAAGAGGAAACGGTGTGACTATGGGGATGGTGGCTGGGACTACTATGGCAATGTCAGCAGGTATGTGAACTTACAACCCTTAAGTTTTCCTGATGAAGCTCTCCTGTGTGGTTGAGATGGAACACAGCTGCATTACAAAAATGTTATGCCAGATGTGTGCTTAGCATAATCATAAAATTGTTTAATTAGAACTGATTTCTGTAGGTCATCTAGTCCAGTGTCTTCAAAGTGAGTCAAGCTAGATCAGGTTGTGTACTTGTTCAGAGATATTTTGATCATCTCTGAGGATGGAGACATCACATCCTCTTTTCAGGTATCAATATTATGGTAAAATAGTTCTTCCTTATATCTGTATGGAATTTCACTTATTCTTGCATCCTTTGTTTCTCATCTTATCAGTGTAAAGAGTCTGACTTCCTCTTCTCAATACATTTATATACGCCTAGCTGAAAACAGCAACCTCTTAAGGCTGAGGAGAACGCAGTGTTCTCAGCCCACCCCTCATATTGCTGACCTTCTTTGTACATTGAGACACAACATTTCATGTGTCTGCACTACCTGCAGGTCTTCTGTGTCATAAGCAATGGTTAAGGATGTCTGCTTCTTAATGCCACACTCTTTTAGTGGTAGTGTTTTGAAGGAAATGTTGTTTAACCAATATCTAGACTCATCTGTGAGTGTTTACTGCGGGGGTGTCATGCTTTGGTACTCAGTGGACGTTAACTCGCGGAGAAATGTCCACGTTCACTCAAAGGATGCTCAGTTCAGTAATCTAAAAAACAAGAGCCATGAGCTTGTTTTCAGATTCTGGTTTTTATCTTGTCAAATTTGTCACTTGATTTGAGGACTCTCAAAACTAGAGAAGCTATGTGTCACAAACTGAGCTAACACTGGAGTTTCATATGTGGGCAAGCTTATCCCAGGTGTTTGTTACTGTTTCTACAAAGTGCTGTAGAGTAAGACTGTTCAGATCCTGCTATCTCAGCCTGGATGTTTCTGAAGCCCCTTAGTCTTTAAAAACCTATGTGGAATAATGCAAACAAGAACTAATTAACTCTGATTTATCAGTCAAGTTAGCTCTACCATCAAATATTATTATGGCATGCTGTGGGAAAAAGTTTTGCAGTGAACAATGCTTATGTTGCAGGGTTTCTGCTAGAGCTATTTTTGAGTAATGAGTATCTTTGTGTGCATCGGACTAAGCATTGGAATGATCCTCTTGCATAAATGTTTGAAGGAAGGTTGGGGCTGGAGTGCAAGATAATACTGATAATTTTAAACTGGAAGATGAGCAAGCTGTAATTGTTTTTAAAATTAACTTTCTCTTTTTTTTTTTTTTTTTCTTCTTCCCCTTGGTACTAGAAACTATGCTTACTGAAAAAAATTTTCTCTTCATCCTAGGTACTTTGTTGACAACTCATTCCCCAACTCCAGTAGCCCCTCATCCAGTTACTATGCCCACATATCGGGCTCCAGGAACACCAACTTATAGTTATGTGCCCCCACAGTGGTGATCATCCTGGCAGTCAGTGTAAGTTACCGATTTAGATTGAAAGCAGTTAATCTTTCTTACAAATGACAGCATTGCAGGTTCTTTCGGGGAGATTTTTCAGCAGGTAAGCAGTCTGGGGTACTTCTACAGTATTCTAATTGAGGAAGAATACACAAAAATTATTGCTTATGTAATAGCTGTTCCCTGCAAAGGAGAGAAGCCTGTTGAGACCTCTTCAGTGGTCTGTATCTTCATGAATCATGAATCATGAAAATGAAGATGGAAGAATGAGCCCTAAGTTTGCCTTACTAAAATACGCCTGGGATTGAATGTATTCAGTATTTTTGGATTCATTGGTAATTGTTGAATTCAGCAATACTGTGATTTGTGAATGAAGCAAAGTGTGTAACTTTGTAGTGTTGTTTTTGATTGGCTAAATGTGTGGGCAAGGTAAGTGTCACCCTCTGAGGGTTAATCTTTCTCACAAGTTGCGGAAACAAATACACAACCGTAAGTTAATTTCATATAGTCACTCTGTTTCAGTTAAGTCTCAGTTGATTCTTCTTGCAGTCAATGTGGAAAAATTGTTTCTAGTGTGGACCAAAATTTAGGTCATGGGTTTCAAGAAAAGGAGTTTAATTTTGAAATCTGCTATAAGGTGGGATGGATTTGGGGGGTGTTATGTGTGTCAAACTGACACAAAGCCTAACATTTTTGGGATCCTCACTTCTGTTGTTTTTTAGCTTCATTGAGAACAGCTTCATTTGAAATAAGGACTTGTCAGACCAGCTGAGCTAGAAGTTTTCATGTTTAGTCCATTTAGTTTATGACAAAGTTAGCTTTGTTTTAACTTTCTTTGGATTTCTGTTTCAGCAGTTAGGAGTCCAGAGTTCTGTTATTACAGGTGGCTGTATTCCCTTTAAGTTAGTAATGCAGCAGCTGTTTCTCATTTTGCTGTGATGCTACCTATCAGTCTGCAGATCTGCAATGTTTCATGTGTAATATTTAATCCAAGAATGTCGTATTACATGAGTATAAAAAAATGAGAGTTTTGCTGTGACTAAACTCATGACTGCTGATAATTAAATTCAGCATAAAATACCTTTTTTAATATTGCACCTTCTACTTAAGACAAAACTACTAATGACAAAAAGCTGGAATGGACATGACAGGAGAAAATCAATTCTTAAATGGGAAGGGAATCCTGTAAATGTCATTTGACTGGGTAGGTGCTAGGGTAGCATTGTATAATATTTAACGTCTGTTGTGTGTGCATATCAGTGTGGTGCATGCAACGTTAGAATGTTCTGCCATACTCAAATGGTATTTCACATAATTGAGAATATTTCCTACTTTCCCCCTCCCACCCCCCCCTTAACTTAGGTTTGAAGATGGGAGATATGCAATCAAGAAATTGAGGTTTAAAAGTTGGTGCTGAAGCCCTCATGCCTCCAACCAGGACTTTTCTTCTGAATGCTTTCAACACTTGGCTAAACACTACTAATTCCTGATCACTGAAGATTTTCCAGTGCTGCATATCTTACATCTTGGAACTCCAGCAGTTAGTCTTAAAGCAAATCCTGTTTTGTGGACTGTCTTGCAATTTTTTAGCTAATTATAATGATAAAAAGGGAGTATAAATTTATTCTGATCCATATCTAGGTGAATGCATGTTAAAACACAAAAACAAAGCTTGCTCAATCTACCTGCAGTGACTGATGCAAAAACCATCATATGCAAATCCAAAGGAACCGAAAAGTATTTTACAACTTGTATCACTAATGCACTGTTGTAATGTATGCAGGGTCTTAAAAGGTAGAATCACAAAAGTGAGTTTCTTTATAGAATACCATAATATGCGTTAGATAAGTGCTTCAACCTTTTTCAGGTTGATGGAGTTGCCAGTTTAAAAGGGGCATATTTTTATTTAAGTGATGTATTCTTTTCAAATTCAACTACTAAATTGGAGTGACTGGAAAATGAGTCAGACAAGCTGTAGAAATCCCGCACACAATTAGTTTACTTCATACCTTTTCATTTTCATTATATGGATTCAGTGTTATACAGATGTTCTTAAGGATCAGAATGAAATGGCAAAGGTAATGCTGTGTGTGCCAGTAAATAAAGCAAACTTCCTTCAAACTGGCTCTTAGGAATAGTAGGAGGTGACATCACCTGTATAATGAATTGCATGTCCTGAGGAGATATGTATCCAGTACTATCTTTCATATGATGCAAGATGTGTCAAAGTGAGACTGCCACACAGACTGATAGAAAAACACTTTCTTTTAGTTCTCAGTTCAGGAAATCCGTGCTGTTTTTCCTAAAGAATGTTGTAGTCAGTTGAAAACGTATGTGCAGTTGATCCAGCTTGCTTTCCTGAAACTTAAGAAATGCTAGAGCTTTCTACAACAACCAGGAGGAGTTCAGCTGCATGTTATTCTGAGGAAAGCTTGTGTGCCTGATGAGTATGTTAAAGGGGAACAAACCATTTTAACACAATTTCCTTATTAGCTACTTGCAGTATGGACTATGGATATGCTGTAGTAGGGCTGCCAGAATATAGAGGTTTCAGATAGCTGTTTTGGGTTTTTTTTCCTGAAAATATTTGTAATTGAAGTAGGAGCCACTTGCTGGTTACAGCATTTTGAAGTGTTTTCTTAGTATTTTCTTTTTTTTTTCACTTCCTAAATTGCACTTGGAATCACGTAAAATAAGACTGACTGGAGATTAGCATTTCATTGCAATGAGTCATTTCTGATATTCTTTCTTGCAACTTCAATTTTTAAAAATAAGTACCTCAAAGCAAATGCTGTGGGGATAAAGGGCTAGCCTTAGAACCCATTTGTATACCAAAATTGTTATGGGGGAGATTTTAAATTTTTAAATTTGAATATTGCACATAAAAATCTCGTTTTTTCTTAAACCTGCTTGACTTACAATTCCAGACAGATGCGATTTTTCTTTTTTTTTTTTTTGGGATACATTCTGCCTGCAATAAATTATGCAGTAAATGGTTATAAAATGTTGTTCCCTTTTAAGCGTTTACACAGAGGTATATCAGGCTGTATTGTTCTTGTAGGTTCATTCAGAAGTAAATATTTTTAAGTTGTATATCTAGTTACGCTTTGTTTTGGGGTGTTCTGCTCCTGTACAGATTTGGCAGCTACTTCAGGGTAGCATCAGTGCTGATTTGACGCTGCCATTCCAGTACTCTGCCCTGGTGGGAGGCTTCCGTATCTTCATAACCCGTTGGTGGTTAGAGCCTTCAGTAACTTTATTTTTATGGTAAGCACTGTCCATATTTTTTTACTGCCTTTTTTTTTTTTTTGTTTAATAAAGTTCAGGTTTATTTTGCATGAATCACTGTCAGTGGACGGCCCCCTTATTTCTAATGCCTTGAACATAACTATGTTGTTGGAATAAGTATTTTAAAACTTACTCATGAGCACTTACTGCAGCTTAGGGATTTCCATGTGTTTTATATGGAGCAGAAAATTACCCAAACGATTTGAATCTGTACTGCTTTCTTCAAGCCTGTTTAACAATTCCATTTGTGTAGTAGATTTGCAGCTTTGATTAGTCAGGTGTGCTGGAGAGTACAGTGAACGTTAATACAGGCCATTTCTCCATTTTAGCTAGTAGAGAGTGACATTTGTTGTCTTAGCGTGATTTTAAAAAAGATCTGAGGTATGAAACAGTGCTATGTTGGGGAGAAGCTATAAAGAACAAGCTCAAAGCTTTGCTGTCCCCTGTCTCACCACCCAGTTAACTAAAGCTTTGAAAATCATAGGAGAGAACTCTCATGAATGCTGCAATAGGTAAATAATTAAGGAATGAATATAACTTCCTATATATTTGCTCTAACTTAAGATTCCTAAATGTCATCTTGGAATTGGTCTCTGTATAATGTTTCATAATATTTAGGCAGTCTCACTTACTTGAGCACTTTTTTTTCTAAGTTGCATTATGGGATTCATCCACGAGGGGGAAACTGTACCTTTTTTAAAAGGTACTTACACCTTCCAGTTTTGATCGATTATAATCTGCTGGGAGGGTGGAGCATGTCTCCAGTAGTTGATATGGAAAGTAACCAAAAGCACAGTGCAGGGGGACGGGGGGGGAATATGTGTATATATAACTATCTTAATGGTATTTTGTTGCAAATAGTAGAAAGCATGGATATAAAACTGCAGCGGGGGAAACTGTACATCATTAAATAGGCGTTTACACAGTGAGGGTCTTATGAAACATTCTCTCCTGCTTTTTATATAACATTCCCTATTTAGAATTCCTTTATAAATAAATACGCAGTATGTGTTTGCACTAGAGCTCTTCAGCAAATGAAAAGAGCTAGTGCAGTAGAGACATTTCAGATCAAGCTTCTCTTTAAAAAAACAAAAAAACCAAAAAACCAAAAAAAACAAACAAAAAACTTTTATGGCAGCTTTATATGATTAAAAAAAAAAGTACTACTTTAAACCTGGAACTGAAAATAACTGTTGCAGCAATAACAAAGAGAAGTCCAAGAAAGAATTTTTTTCTTTTTAATTCAAATTTCAGGTGTTGAGTTTAGATAAGTATTTTTTAAAAACTGAGGTATTCCCTATGTCAGTAACAACTGATGAAAATGTCTTTTAAATGTAGCAGCAGCAAGAGAAAAATGGCTAATAATTGGCACCAAAACCGTGTAGCCCTAGTCAGTGGCGTGGTGGTTATTAACGAAACAGTAGGAAGGAAAGTAGAGAACCTACTACTATATCTTGCTTATGCTTGTTGTAACCATCTCCTCTTTGAAGTTTCTAGGAGACGTGCAGGAATG